GACCTGACCTGACCACCATGACCATGACTGACCTGACCGACATGGCCAACACGACCATGACCACCATGACTGACCTGACTGACCTCACCATCACCAGCGCAACCGTGACTGATCTGACCGGACCAACATGACCATGACCGACCGGACCAAACTGGCCAACTGGATTATAACTGACTGGACCATGCCCGAGCGCACCGATTGGATCATGGTGATAGGAACCGGGTACAGGCCTCCGGAGGTGATATGATTGATCAGGCAGCCCACAGGTAATCTGATTAGCTGCCTGAGGCATGATACTATTAGGGTAAACAGACTGCATCATAGCTGGATTGGGTATAGACTACCCGTTCCGGGAGGCTTGGCAGACCCCAACAAAACAAGACCCTAATGAAATCAGACCCGGACCAGTCCGACCACATATAATACAGCAGGGGGAATCGGAACGGGATAGAAAATTAGAGAAAAAAATAAGAAAAATTCAGGTCCCAAAATCATGCCAATTGACCCAGGAATGAAGGACTTTGGGGGAGGGTATGTAAAAACCCTGTACCCTCCCCCCCCCCGGTGGGGCCCACCGCGGGCCATCCGCCACTCAGCGGCCGCCCTGGGGCCCGACCCACCCGTACCCTGGGGGAGGGTACGGTCGAACCTATAAGTAGGTGGACGGGGCTTTAATGCTTTGGTATGAGAAAGAAATCGGGAATCTTGAGAGTCACATCGGTCGAATTGGGTATGTCTAGTTTCTAGAGGTCAGACTATCAAGCAAAGTTTGAGAGAACGTAAAAGGATTCTGGCCACTATTTCATTCACCTCCTGTTTTTCCTTCACTGCATATGTCGTTCTGTTCAGTATTTCGCCTCTTTGAGGACGGCGTCGAGTTTGGACGTGTTGTTGTGAGCAACTAATTTATTCAAGTTCTATTTCCACAGTGTCAGTTCCTATAAGTCCAGGCGCAGAGCAGCCATGTCGATCAACCCCGACATTCCAGTCTTTCCCACGGTCACTCTTTCTTAAACATAGCTACAGCCTTAAGGTCGACCATCATGAAGATGAGTCAGCTTAAAGACGTGGGCTGCCACCCACCTCCAAATGTACGGCAGACCCTTGGAAGCCCATCACGTGGTAAATGTCACATGTTGTGATATCCACCACATCCTCGGTCTAACTCCATTGCTTTGAGCCATCATTTGGTAGATTTTCTGGCCCGTTCCCGACCTCAGCCTAGCACAAAGGCTCGTGATGTCATATTCAAAAGCCTCTTTTGAAGGGCTGCATTTCAGTATCCCAGGACATTGAAGCACTAAACATGTGGGATAAATATCTATCTGCGCCACGCCCAACGTAGATTTGGGCGTGGTGTTAAGATCCAATCTTGTCGTAGTGACTTCCATATTGCTTTCTCGTCTAGATGAAAGTCAACGTCAGCACAAAACCCAGGGAAGGTTCCCTGAGCTCACGAGTCACTGGGTGCATTTCACGTGATGATGTGGATCAGAGTCAGTGAGTCACTGAGTCAGACAGGAGAGCAACTCTGCGCAGCCTGCGCTAGAGCCCAGCGGTCCATAAGTCTCACTGTCTCAGCGAACTGGCTGATCGCAAACAAGGAGAGTAACTTCAGTGATCTTTCTCAAGCCCCCTTAAGTTTATGTTACTCCAGCTAGTTAACGAGTTCTGCTTTCATGGTAGAGACGGTATCCCTCTTGCAGTCCTTCTATCGCCTCACCATGAGTTTGGACGTTCTCTATTGCCATAGATCAAAGGATGCTATGAGACTGGAGAGCTAATAATTTTTATTCAATAATTTATTTAGAGTCGGTTAATCTGATAAGTTGTGTTGAGTGGAGTTACGTGGCTAGTGGCATGCGGGTGACCGGCCCGTTTTATATGATTTGATGCCCCGCATGCCTGAAATTGTCCTATATTATTTAATATATACTATACTAAATATATATTATATATAATTAAATCTAATTCTTTTTTATTCATTTTTTATTAATTTTTATATAATTAAATATCTTCTATATAAATAGAATATCTAAATTTAAATATAATACTTTAAAATACAGCTGAAACTGTATAACCGGGCTTTGGCGAGGCCTAGATGCTATAAGTATAAGCATCCTCCTGCTCTTGGTTCCAGTTTTAAAACTTGCTCTTTATTACTAGATCCAGTATAACACACTACTACACCTCTCGAGAATCTCTAGGCAGGACATCTCTTGAAATGCCCCGCGACGCAGACTTCCTCAGCCTACACGAGCTGCTGGTAAATGATGGGTTTGTTTGCAAGCTTGCTTCCTTTCGGAAACTGGGGGATCTCTATATCAGAAATCAGAATCTGCCCGATTCTGACGACAGCCTGATGCAACAAGCTGGCTTTAAAGAGAAAGCCTATGGCATGGTAGTATATCCCTTTCTTTCTGAGACATCATTCATTTACTTGCGCGTTATCTAGATTCCACAGACAAAAGGCTCTCCACTCCTCTTCCTGGCTAACAGCTTGTCAGCTTCCGTCTTATCTGCAGCCGATCCCTATTCAATTCCAGACGGTAATTTACATGAATATATTCTCCTCTCAATCCATATTCCACGCCGTCCCCTTCCTCCCTCACTTACTAACGGTAGACAGGTCCGGCAAGTCGCTAATAACCTCAATATACGCTGAAAAATTGTATCACTGCTGTTGTTCAATGGGGCAGCTCAGCCCCCAAACGTGCTTCCATTTTACAAACTGACAATCACACGTCTTGTGACTAACAGGGACAGTACAACTATACCAACACTGTGTGCAGCACCGCCTTGAAACTTTGTTCTGCCGCGCCGGACAATTACAGTACATTCAGTTTTGTGTCTCCGCCCCAAGAGACAATTGAAACTTACCCACACTGGGAAAATCAGACAAGATATTCCAGGACATGGAGGTATTGAGGCAGGACCCCGACAACAACAGCCTTCAGGACAAGGTCCAGAACGAGATCAACAATCGAAAGTACAAGATTAACATTCTTAAAGACCAGGCGGACGCCTGGAGCTCGAATCTCCGAGCTTACAGCCTGGATGCAGAGGATTGTGAGACCAAGGTGCATCAACTGGCTGCCCCTTTCCAGGGAACGACCTTGGCAGACATCTTGAAAGATGAGATATCCGATCCTGAGGACCTCCAGATGGACCTTAATACTCTGGATTGGACTAAGGTAGGTTTCAATCTCGACAGGTGGGCTGCAGTGGCTGGCTGTCTGCTTATAATTGACTTCCAAATCAGAATCTGCTTGAGGGTTTTGCCATGATTGATGACTTGCAGGATTCACTGCAGGAGGTACAGAAGATGGCTGGTATGTTCTGTCCAGGTGTTGGCATGTCCTGCGGGCATCGAGCCTCTCGTTAACCTGATAGCAGGAGGTGCAGGCCTTATTGCAGACGATATAGCCGTGCTGCTGAAGTACATCAAGGATCACCTGGATCCGGATAATAACCCTCTAGATGGCCTGGTAGAAGCGACCCTTCTGCGAAAATGGAAGAACCTGGAGAAAGACGGTATGTCAAGGGCCCGATATACCAACTCTGTTTTCTGTTTGGGAAGAAGACTGCCTGATGCTGATTTGAATTGCCCAGTCAATGATTTCCTGGATGCATACAAAAAGTAAGATTTATTGGATAGGTCTTTCCAGTGCTTAGACATAAATAATACCGTTTGTGTAACCAGAATCTTGACTTAGTCCACAGAGAATAGGATGGCAACGGTAGTGAGACGAACACATAAAATCATAATGAGAAGACCGGCCAGTAGAATGCGTCCCAGTGTAGCTCCAGTTTGTCCAGTGTACTCAAATCCAGGTCTTCGGGGTTTTCAAGAGTGAGCTTCCAGAGTATAAAGGGCAGAGGTTGCGCGTGCTCGTGGTCATCATACATGGCTCGCTCCCTGTCGCGGAGCCAAGCGCCCGACTCGTCAATCTCATAGATATAGCGGTTCTGTCAGAGCTTGCTGACAAAATACCAGACCTTGGTTTCCTTCGTATCAGGGTCATACCCGAGATCCGAATAGATCCTGGAGATTTCAATGCGGAACCTGACAAGCGCGCGGCCATCGTGCACCGCGTCGGGCAGCGGTTTCACACCAATCAGGCGCGGCTCCAGCCCATTCAGCCGGTAGTAGAATCCCCCTGTGAAGGGGTATGCGTAGTTTTCCGGGCCGGGGTCATAGTTAGCGCCTGGCATGGGCAATAGCGTGAACGTGGCACTATACCCTTGCTCACTGCTCTTCAGGCCGGCAATCACCATCTCAGGAAATTTGGATGCTAACTACGAAGTGTTCTCGTCAGATTTACTCAGATAACCACTGAATAATTTTATGGGCCAGGCTCGTACCTCGTCAGAAAATGTGGTAGGAGTGGTAGCTGAATTGAAGATACGGATTAGCTGTGACCCTATAACCTAATTGAAAGGCAGTATAACTGGATGCTACCCACGCGTGTATCCGTTTGCATATTAAATATCTACATCTTGCATCGCACCCCGCAGATCTACAATGCAGTTGGTTATATCATCCACAGACATCTGTGAGTCCAGGATGACTGCGGGTTCTTTCAGGGTGTAGAATCGACAGGCATCAACCGCATATTGCAACTGAATGGCGAGCGTGGTCTGCAGCTGGAGATATCAATCATAGAACTTCGCGTCGGCCTGAGCGTATACATCTTTCTCTTCCTTGTAGTGGGCTAGCAGGTCATCGATAGCCTCGATGTCGCGGTTGGCTTGGAGCACCATGAGGATGGCCTGGACATATTCCTGACCTTGCTTGACAGCCTCGGCCTGGGCCTGGGCCAATGCGCGGCCGTGAACCGCATGTTTGCGCAGGGTCAAGCGATACTCACTGGCTCCGTTGATCGCGGGATTCTGTTGCGAGGCGGCCCATTCCATCTATTGGTCCGAGTCTAACTCCCACTCATCCCAAGTGGCCAGACTCATGATCAAGCTGGTGTCTGCATCAGTCCCATCGGAGCCGGAGACATCGCCGCCCAAGATCGGAAGGTCAATCTTATCATGATCTCCTAGACGGTCGATCTTGCCCACAGCAGAGACGACATCGGAAATGTGGGGATACAGCTTCCCCAATGCTTTGGTATATTCCCACAGCCCCTTGAAGGCTTTGGAGCCAAGGATAACATCCTCCGCAGCCCCTGCCGCTTTTTCGGTCTTCTCAACGTCATCAACGATTTTTTCGACCGCGCCTGGGTCGCCCGACCCCTTCCCGACAGCGTAGATTCCGGTCACAAATTCTAAAGGCCGCGCGCACACACATGTCAGTTCGACTATGGCCTCATGACCGGGGTTCAATAGGAAGGAACAGGGAAGCCACTCACGGAAGACAGCACCAAGGATTGTGCAGATGGCCAGGAAGGTCTGCCTCCTTATCCACTCATTAAGACCGGTTTTGAACCGGTCTTTTGCATGTCTCAGGTCTTCTTCATCATCACTGAGCAGCTTGTCACAGGCGTCGACGGTAGCTGCTGCCGCCTGGTATTTATCCAAGGCCTGTGACTGCAGATCGAGTCTGGTTGACTGTTCGTGCTACACGGTTGCAAGAAGGGTTTGCCCGGCTGCCTTGGCGTTATCGACTCGGTCTTCGGCGGCCTGGAAGGCCTTGTATTGGTGCTGAAAATTCTCGGCGGCCTGTCGCTGGGACTCCAGCGTGACGACAAAATCGTCGAAGGTGAGGGTCGGAGCAAAGTAGGAGTCGGGACCGGTCATGGCATGGGCCGCCAATTGCTGGCCCAGGGACACGGCTTGGGCCTGGGACAGCGCATGCGAGCCCGCGGTGGCCGCCGACTTGGCCACAAACAAGCAGATCAAGATGGCGACAGCGGGCGATGACCAGCAGACCGCGAGGGCGACGCGCAGCTCCGTGTCCAGGAAGGCTTGGTAGGCCGGGGTGCGGTCATCCCCGTGTCAGTCACTGTAAGAGACCTCCAGCTGGCCCTCGTCGAACTTGATCTCCGCTTGCAGGTAGCCGGAATCCACTCCCAGCTCCAGCTCCGTGTGCTGATCGCCCTCGATTGAAACGCTGATCGGCTGATCGAGTACAGCGGCATAGATCACCATAACACACTTTTTGGCTCCACGCGTGGACATCTTGAGATGGACGGGCTGGTCGGCGGTGATCACCCGGGCATTGATTTCGAGGTCGGTCAATTCATCGGCCGATATCTGGATCTCGGGCTCGGTCAATGCGAGGATATCGGTGTAGATCTCACAGTAGCCTGGGAGCTGCTGTAGGATGGGTGTTCCGTCCAAAAAGATTGAACGGTAAGTTGGTCCCTGCAATGTAAAGGGGGATTTTTTTTTAGAGCAGTCTTGGAAGATTGAAGAGCAGTTTATACCATTGTGTTATCTTCATCCTTGGACTCGTGGTTTGGGATATCGTCCACCGGCTTCAGCTGGCTGAATTTCTGCCATTGCGCGGGAGTGTTGGGCTGTGTGTTTGTAGACATGCTGCTTCAATTAGATGAGAACCAGGCTTGTGTAAAAACAATTCAATTGGCGGAAAGCATTTGCTTTGTATATCAGAGAGGATCGGTTAACACAGGTGATGTTTTTTCGTGTTCGAAGGTCTCCCTGGCAGGCTACATCATCATGCTGCTGCTAGGAGGATTACACTGCATGCAGTGCGTAATTTTTATTTCCCCTGCAACTCCCCCAACAGCCAGTTCTCTCTCCTGGAACAATCATGTCAGACCCACATCATATATACAGTAAATACATCATGCTGATGCTAGGAGGGTTACGCTACATGCAGTGCGTGATTTTTGTTTCCCTGCAACTCCCCCAACAGCCAGTTCTCTCTCCTGGAACAATCATGTCAGACTCACATCATGTGTACAGTAAATACATCATGCCACATTCTATCCATGATGTGAAACCAACCATATCCTGCATTTCCATGGTTCTGGCAAGGTGAAAACACAATAAGGCAGCCAGCTGATCAACCTAATGCTGCAACCCAGCCTTGCTGTACACTTCCACGGCATGCACATGCAATACGGAAGCAGACAGCTACAGTACAGTCAAAGCGGGGCTGACAATAAATAACCAGTTCTCTCAAAGTAATGACCGTGTCGCATCCTCTGCATCTCCATCAACGACTCCTCAACCTGCCTCATTCTTTATATTCACACCTGCGAGATACGCACAGCCCAAGATGTCCATGGCCGGCGACGACAAAACAAGATGGTACCCCATCAGACAGACAGTGAAAACGCCTTCGCGCGCTGCTCGACATGCCGTGAAGGATGGTGTTAACAATGATGATGATGATGGGGCCACCTTTGCTTTTGCCGACGAGGACATGGACAAATTGAACCAGTATCTTCATGGTGGAAGAGTCTTACCACTCAATAAAGACAGTTTCTGCCAAAAGGTTGGCATCTTGGACCAGAGCAAGATCACCGACCATATCTGGACCCAGATTGATGGTTTGATCAGTACTTACAAGGAGGCAAGTCGAGTCTTTCTGAACTCATGCTTTCCCAGTGCAGCCAGTATCGTATAGCTGATCATGCTGACCTGGCCCCAGATCTACAAGGACTGCACCGGTTTCCTTGGTGATGATAGCTCCGAATCACGCAGACAGTGGACGAAAGCGGATGGCAATGACAGCGCCTTCAATGCCCTCTGCACCTTTGATAAGATGAACACGCTTGCGTCTCAGATTTACAGCTACACAGACAACGCCGGGGCTGATGACAGCTCTTATTATTTGTTCATGTTTGACCAGTGCAAGAAGTACAATGATGATGACACAACTGACCAGCAGAGGAAGACGGCCAGGAAAGCCATTCTTGATGCCACAGAGGATTTGCTGAGTGATGTTGCACCAATGCAGCTCCACGCTAAGAAGGTCTCGGATGCCCTGAATGATTTTGAACAGGCATGTGACAAGAGAGAGGGTGCGCTCGTTGACTCTGAAACTAGCATAACCTCCATTCTCAATAAGGATCTGGGAGATATCGGCGACTTGCAGGTGAAAATTGATTCGCAGCTTGCCGATATTGCGGCCGACCAGAAAATCATCAATGCGGGTCAGTCCAGAGACCAAACCTTCGTCTCAACTCTTCGCTCGGGTGTTGACTTGAAGGTTTTCTAGATCGCTATGATCAACAAATGACCGCGGCATACATTTGGATGTAAGTTTGCTCACTCACTCACCAGGTAGCACCCTCTGCGTCCTCTACCCACCCCAACTAACCTGTTGGCCATAGCCCTATCATCGGGACAATTGCCGGCCCCGTCATATTTGCGGAAAGACAGGCGGATATTGAGAAATACAAGAAGAAGATTGCGGCCCTAAAGGACCTGATCAGCTCCGAGCAGGACCAGATTACATTGCATCAGCAACTGCAAGGCCATGTCACTGCAATGTCAGTAAGCGCACCATTGCCGGGGTTGCCTGACACCAACAATCCCGGAGCTAAACATTAGATATGTTTAGAAACAATGTCAGGACTTGAAAGCACTCATCAGTCCGGCTAAGAAGACAGCTGAAAAGCTGAAAGGTGGCTGGGACTTGATAGAAGATAAGATTCAAAAGGTCCATGATACCGTGGAAAAGTTTGAAACCAAAATCCCCGGTGTCGGCTTTGCTGATATCCAGCTTGAATCTATTGTTCGGGAGTGGAAAAAGCTCTATAAGGGTGGTATGAATCCTTTTCCCCCTTTGCCCTACTTATGCTCCACATCTAATGTCCTTCGCTAACGCGATGATCCAATCCTCAGCCAGGGAGTATATCAAAACGGCACCAGTTCTACCGAGAACTGATATCATGTCCATTGATAACTACCATGATCAGATTAAGGACTTGATCAATTGAGCCGGCACATGGACACGGCATGATTGCTTGGGTTGGGATAAAAACAACAAAGTAACAAGCTGTAGAAGGTAGTAGAGTAACTGTTAGTCAAATAGCACGTGAACTTGTCTTCTTCAACTATGATGTACGGGGTCCCGAACCTGATTATGTTTGCAGTGTCTGGGACGTGAGTTAGATACATAGTAGTATATACTTTTGACTGCGCGTCTACTTCTTAATATGTTTCTCCCATTGTAGGATACCTCTGATCGTCAACCTACACTCAATATCAATCACTTGAGTATTTACTTTCACTGGACCTTGCTATGATTATCAAATGTCCCTGCTATCCAGAGCGACGCGAAGAAGTATGGGCGCAAAAGCCTGTAACAGTCATAACAGAAGTAGTCTGAGTTTGACGAAGATGCTCTGGCTAAAAGTAAATCCTGGAGATATAGTGCCACTTTGACTCTTTGTTATGGGCAAAGGCCATTGCTTTTGCATTACAAGATGTCTACTTCGATCATACATTTCTCTCGTGTTCAGGAACCGACAAAGTGAGATTGTTCCAGTACATGCCCGTTGATCTTGTAACACGCAAAGATGTAAAGAGCTAGATAATTGCTCATCGAACCAAAGCATATTGGTCCGTGTCCACAGTCATAAAGCACAACTGTCACCGCCTCAAAAGACACAAAGAGCTTGAATCATAGAATAACCCGGGACTGGAATCAAACCCCGATATAGAGACAACTTTGCCCAGTCCCTTTACACAAATTATGCTGCAGATCGAGAAGGATTATTCCCCGCAAGAATGCTATTTACCTCGAACTGTATGGCACTGGTTGATAATCCCGACCGCACAATATTGATGATGTAAAACTGCCGTCAAAGTGGGGCAGCAGTGCAAGGGCTTATATTAAAATATTTCCTGTTCACTGCCTTCTGCCAACGGTACAAAGAAAATGTAGGCTGGACAACATGACAATGATTTTCCGTGATCTGGGAAGTACCGATGCAGCACAGGGTTAAATAAATGTCCACCACAGGAGGTCCTATTTGGAATGCATAAGTATACAACTTAGAAATTCTCTACATATAAAAGCATCCATGCACCTACTTCTTGTCAATGTGAGGCTGCCCGCTAACAGACGCAAGTAACTCACTGAGTGACATTGCAGAAGGCTCTTTGGGAAAATAATGTGATCTTTGTGGCTCAGAAGCCCCTGGCAGAGATTTACAATGGCAGCAGTCCGTGTCTACTTTTTCTTCGTGGCTGAGTATATGTTCAATCCAGATAAAACTGGTATCTTGGGTCCAATCATCATGGTCCTTATTGAAACGCTCGTAACAGTCAATGCCAAATGACCATCCTTTGTGATGGAACCAGTCCTTAATTGCTTCGGAAGACGACTTTATGGAGATATGACTATCAGGCAGAGCAGCAATCCAGCCATCCATCTTTAGGTAGCCATATCCAACAAAATTAGGGAGGTCTGGAAGTAGTCGTTCGAGACATGTGATATGATAATATTCAATAGAGCCTAATATAAATACATCAATTAGAAAGAACCAATCACTTGCGATTAACATCCGTACTAGAACGTGCAGATATCCGTTTCAAAGCGAAATGATAATAAGACCGGATTGTCACGGATATAGGATTGGGCAATCAGTGAATGAGTAGTAGACACGTGACCCCTTTGTCTATAAGGGCAGCAAAGCACAATAGCTTCATGTTTTCTTTTCTTTTCCTCTCTTTAGCTTAGTCTCTTGGTGATAGACTACCTAATCAACTATTGATTCAGCCGAGTCCCTTACACGGATGATTGGATTCCCGGTGCTTCTCCTAGGCATACAATCCCATGCGCGGCAGTGGCTAGTCTTGATCTTAGGAACCTCCTGTAGAAAGAGCACGTATTTTCCAGATCTTAAACTAGCTTCAATGAGGGCAGCTTGTTTTTCTCATTTGCGTTGGTCCCTCTTTTCCTTTAGTTGCTTCAAGGTAGGAACAATTACTTGAGGCTGCAGTTTCGGTTTGATGATATTGTTTGATTCCGCCATTGAGATCTTAAATATGGGTATCAATGTAACTGGTTTATATCCACAGGGGATTTGGGAGTTTTATGTCAGGGTTGAACTAGGATATATCCCGTGTGGCCTAGACTCCTGCTTCTCCCTCTGCACTTTGCTACTATTAAATTAATGATCTTTATATAAAGACATTGACATCTAAATTTAGAAAACAAGGTAATAAATACCAATAGATAATGAGCAAGCTAAGCAACGCTCAACTTTCTGAAATGAGGTTGTTGCATATATGAAACACTGTAGCCTGGAAATGTTTGATATCCTAGACTATGATTGGTAGAGGCACTACCGTTCTAGATACATCCGCTGTAGATCCCACGACCACCATCACCAGAACCCAAGAGCCTAGAAATAGCGTAATACTGCTACATAATTGCCTGTTCTAGTATCGAGGTTTATATTAAATATTTAGGACTTATATCGACCCGCAATTTCCTGCCAAGTGACCTGTTTCGGCCTTGGATAGTACGTTGCCTATGTTGGTTAGACTCAAGACGTCTGACAGGGTTAATGGATCCACCTACCAGCTGCTCTTTTGACGGAGTCCTGGACCCGTCGGAATCAAAGAAAACTACGGCAGACCCTTGGGACAAAAGGGAAAAAACTGAAATTTCATGTAATCGTTTTGTCTACCGCCCTCCTGCCCGCCCTGCTTGGAGCTCAGATCTCTTAAAACAAGCGGTGTAGCTTACTTCTACAAGAGTTAGATTCTATTATACAAGCCATCATCATGCCTCGTCCGGTAATTAATCTTAAGCCTTATAAGGCAGAGATTACTGATCTTTATATGAATAACACATTCCCTGATACTATTACAGAGACTCTAGCCAATTCTTATAGTATTACAGTTACTACTCGGACAATCAAGACACGCCTTCAACAGTGGGATATTCAAAAATAGAATTATAGAGTATTAAATAATCCAATTCTTTATACTTATATTAAGATTCTTTTCTGGTAAGTTAGTCTAGAAGAAAAGGAATTGCTTAAGGTTCTATAGCTAGAAGGCTTTAATATCAAGGCTTAGACATTAAAATATATTCAGTACTAGTGTTAGGCGCACCTTACAGCGCGTGCAGGCGATATAGTAGCACGTGCGAGTCACGTGCTACCCGCTGCGGTAAAATCTTTACCGCACTCCAATGGCTTCAGAAACCAGTGATCAACCTCTGTGTATGGTAGTAGATCGTTCAATAGAAACCCAGTCCTCTGCTCCTGCCACCTGCGGCGCCGTAGCACGCTATTCTCCTACTACCTGCGGCTCTCTGAGCTGCAATTAACAACTAGCTAGAGTTATATTGTTATACAATAAATCCTATAGCTACTTAAGTATAAGCAGAAGCTATTCTATCTAAGCTTTATACAGAGATTAAAAAGGGTCAGATTAAGGGATATAAAAAAATATTACTTTATTAATATTTTTAAAGTCAAGATCTTTTAATAGCTAGATATACTATATTATATCTTATTATATATTAGTCTAATCAGGCTTAGGAACTGTCTTTACTCATTATATTAAGGCCTTGCACCTGTTACTGTATAAAGGCGATTAAATAATCTCTAATAACAACAAGATATATATATTGTACCTGGGCTAAATTTTATTTAGTTAATGAATAGCTATCTCAAGCTTTTATTATATAGAATTGAGATTTATGCTATAATTAATGCCTATTCTCAGTATATTATTTAGATCTATATCAGAATTATCTCTTATATAGCTATTAGTGTACTTCAGCAGTTTCTGGATATTCTTTAGATTACTAAACAGCAGCCTTGATTTGTATGATCTGATTGGGAAATAGAGACAATTCTTCTTATAGAGACTTAACATAAGTTATAGCAGTCTAAATATCCAGAAATCCAGATTTCTAAGTACTATATATATAGTATAAGCACTACTAATTAATAAATTAAAGTCTAGTAGCTTTAATTAAGCTGTGGCTTACTTTTTTAATAGAGAGTATATTATTGTTACAGACCCTTGTCTAGTGCCCTTATCAGACGCGGAATCAGGCGGCAGAACCAGTGACACAACAAGACACTAGCACCAAGAAAGGGAAAAGCACCAAGAAACACCCAATTATGTGAGCAACTATCATGTACACATAATTATCGGATCACGTGACCAGAACATGTCACCGACAAGCTATAACATGGCAGCGCTACGACCGGAACATGTCAGCAACATGATATGACATACCGGCAACATAATATATCATGGCAGCGACATGAGGGATAGGAATATATAAGGACACTTATTCATGTACTTAGAATAGTTCTTTGTGATCAATCAACATTGTTACTTAGGATACACCTTTGGTATCAAGTTAGTAATCAACTTATTTACACTTCCTTAACTATTAAGTATATATACTTAATAGGCCTGGCCTTTTGGACTTGAGCTATATACCGAACCTTGTTACACCTATCGGACCTCGGCTTAGGTCACTCTTTGAGGATCCTGGATAGGATCATATTCGGAACCACAGTCGTTCACATTGCAGAGACGCATAGGTCTCATCGTCAGGTTAGTTATCGCTCAACGCAAGGCAGCTAACACTTAGGAGCTCTTGACCGAATACCCGGGCGTAACAATTATATATTTCTCTTATTTTATTTTATATAAAGACTAATTCTATATTAGAACTATTTTCAGGCTTTTCAAGAAAAAGAAGTATTTTTAAAGAATAATCTAGCTAATTAGATTACTTTATATATAATCTATATACCAGTACTCCAGCTTGAAATAATCTTCTTTATATAAACATGGAATAACTATTTTATTTAAAAGTAAAAGAATAGGCTATATCTTATTTCTGGTAAGTCTTTTATAAATTATAACTATTCTACTGATAGTATCTCTAATTATAGGCTTAAATTTAATAAGTATCTATTTCATTCCTTATAAAATAATATATAAGACTAGGATAAGTCTTATAACTACTTTTCTAGTACTAAATACTTTACTGATCTTTTCTATAAAAGATTCTGACAAGTATCTACTATATATTATCTATAATTAGATATTAGTCTAATTACAGGAGCTTGGCTTTAATCCTTAAAATTCTCTAGAATATACAGATAAAGATATTTTAGCTCCTTTTTATATAATCTATTTTAATCTGTGAGCAAGAATTCAAGCCTATATTATACAGGGAGATAAGCTAGAACTAGGCTTATTACCTAGACTAATAGAGATCTTTAATTAGTAACCTCTTCTTTAAGATATTCCACAGATAGAGATTATAAATAATCTTAAGAAGGAGACTATAAATAATCTAGAAATAGTAGACTAACTAGATTTATATTAGTTCTATATATAGATATTATTCTATACTGCTACTTTAAAACAATATATATTCTCTACCAGCTTATATAAAAGGGAAAAAACTTATAAAAGTAAAAATATTCTTATAGATTTCTGGATACCTTACTGCTCTTGTATAGACTGTCTATATAGAGATGTCCTTGCCTATAGCTTATATCTAGCCCAGAGATTATATCCTTCTTCTTTATATATAAGTGTTGGTTTTTAGATAGATAAGATAGATATTAAGCTTAAATTAATGATAAGATTAGATTAAAAGATATAAATAGTAAGATAAAGAGAGTAGAGTAAGAAAGGAAAAAATATTGATAATAGATAAATCAATATAAAGAATAGAATAAGTGAATATGGTGAGATTCTCTGCTCTGTCTTTAGAAATGCATGATTTCTCAGGCATATTTATATCTGTCAGAATCAATGGATTCTAGGTGCAGTAAGCTGAATGCAGTATACTGAATCTGATAAGATGAATGCAAATGATGCATTCGGAATGATCAGATTATCAGACCTGAAAACGGCATAATTCTAATCTAGGGATATTACTGAAAGCATCCTCAGAAGCAGATATAAATATGCCTAAGAAATCATGCATTTCTAAAGACAGAGCAGAGAATCTCACCATATTCACTCATTCCATTCTTTATATTGATTTATCTATTATCAATATCTTCCTTTCTTACTCTACTCTCAATCTTACTATTTATATCTTTTAATCTAATCTTATCATTGATTCAAACCTCATATTCATCTCATCTCTAAAATTACCAACAATATCTGCTTCTGAGGATGCTTTCAGTAATATCCCTAGATCAGAATTATGCCGTTTTCAGGTCTGATAATCTGATCATTCCGAATGCATTATTTGCATTCATCTTATCAGATTCAGTATACTGCATTCAGCTTACTGCACCCAGAATCTATTGATTCTGATAATAAGAGATCCTGAGATTATTAATTTTATTAATTCTTCTTCTTCTACTTCTTCTCAAGTAATTTCAGTCTTTGCTTTATCTATAACTACCCAGTTTGCTTAGTATAATTATATAGAAGGGACGGAGCAGTTCTGTCAAGCTGTAATTTCTTATATAAAAAAGAATAAGCCTAGGATTTTACTGTCTACCTTTAATACCACTGTATATTTCTATTTACTAAGACAGAAACTCAAAAATAATATCCTTATACTAATTTCTTATATATCAATAGATTAGTTTAAGCTCTAAGCTTGAATCTTATTAATCAGATTACTAAACTATAGTTCTCAGCCCAGATTTCTACCAAAATCTTTTCCTGTACAATTAAATCCTTCACTGATTTTATTTCCAATAACCTTATATCTGGGCTCTATACAGGAGCCTTTATATAAGAATTAACTAATTAATTGTTCCTTGCTACAGCTGTCCAGAATAAGAATAAGCCAGTCTATATATCTTAAAGTAATAATAAGCTACAATCTATGGAAGAGCTCTTATCTAGTTACTTCTGTCCAAAAGAAAAAGAGGATCTGGCATCTATTTTTATTGTTATTATACAAAACCTGAATATAGCAGTACAAGAGAATAATAAAAAAGAGATTAAGATTAATTCTAAGAGAAAGATAGAGTCTAAGATACCAAAAATAATAAAGAAGTATTTATTTTTAGTAGCCTTATCAAGACCAAAGAATAAGAAATCACTGGTTATTAAAAAAGAGAAGGAAGAAGCTGAACAAGAAGAGACTAAAGACTCTAATATTATGATTTCAGATTCTTCAAGTCTTTTATACAATAGTATAGTATATTATACAAGAAAATGCTATATTCTCCAATAAGAAGATATCTAATTTACTATAGGTACAGTATCCCAAGCAGACCTTCCCTAAAGAAAGATCCTGTGATATAATCTATTGTTTATACAGTGCTTTAACAGCTTGTTTAGAGGATATAAGATTAAGATAGTAAATCAGGGCATATAGTGCTTTAACAGCTTATCCAGTATACATGGGATTATAGTATACAGTGCTTCAACAGCTTGTCCAGAGTATGTAGGATCAAGGTATACAGTGCTTCAACAGCTCTCCTGGAAGATATAGGATTGAGGTGGTAAAGACTGGTCAAGCCTTGTACATGGCTGGGTAAAGTGGCTTGTTATAATGTTGAGGTTATTGAAGATATATTGTCAATGACTAAGCTAATAACACAACCTGAGATTCCATGATTTTTTCTTATATTCTCTCCTTTCTTTCTCACAAACCTTACCATCATCACCACCACCATTGCCACTACCACCATTATCATCATTATGGCGTACGAGCATTATGGTTTCCTTGTTGTTTTGCATGTCTTGAAGCATATGCTAATTTGTTCTTGTGTGATTCGTACAATTCTCACCGAGAATCATATGTCTTGTACAAATATTA